GGTGGGACTAGTGTCTGCAGTGAGTGTTGGTGTCTTTGAAGGGAATGTTTGGAGCCTGGGGCCCCCCACACCAGGACCTGTGGTCAGGGGCACTGCCTGTCCTAGGAACTGCTCTGTAGGGGTGTATGTAGTAAATTGCTTAAATGCAATACTTTTTCGATTATAAGACTACATGGGGCAGGGGGCGTGCTAGGACCCCCGGACCATCCTGGAGAAAATGGTTCCCAGGACCACCGACAGATGGAAGTGATTTTGGGTCACGTGGGTCAGGCAGACCTGCTCTCCGAGTAGACCAGGCCCAGAGACCGTGAGTCTCCAGGAAGGAACCCAACAAGCCACACGTTAGAGCAATGTGGTGCTGCGTCTTTGTTTATTTAATGATGCTGGGGCCCTGGGAGAGGGTTTCTAAATGGGGGGCTGAAACTGAAGCCTGGAAGACTTTGGGTGGTGCATGGAGGGGCCTCAGGCCTCCCCCTTCCCTCCTCTCCCCTGTCCTGGCATGAGAGTGTGTGGAATGGGGAGAAACCCATGGCCTCATATGTGCCTGTTGTTAGGAATGAGTGTTGTCTGTTCTGGGACATTTTTGCATACATTGTGTTATTTCATTCCCCCACTCCATCCCTAATTCTATGAAGTAGGAATGATTGCCCTCTGTCTCAGTGGGTTAGGTGTTGGTCTACCAATCACCAGGTGGGCAGTTCAAACCCAGCAGCCGCTTCTCCCAAGAAAGATGAGAGTATCTGTACCCACAAAGGTTTGCATCTTGGAAGCCATATTTAGGGTTGAGAGAGTCAGAATCGACTCGGTGGCAGTGGATTTGGTTTGGGGTTTGTCAAGGTGGTGGTACAAATAGCTTGTACCAGATTACCAACCTAAATAAAGTTTGGTGGTTTGAACCCACCCCCACGGAAAACTGTCTCAAGCATTTCTGCTCTGTGACACACGTGGGGTCAGGATGAGTCAGAGCCAATTTGGTATCAGTGAGTGTGTTTTTTGTAATGTTCTTTAGGCCAGAAAAAGGGAGAAGTAATGGTCACCGAAACCAAGCAACTGCTGAAGATAAATCAACCCCCTCCACCCTCCCAGGCTCTGGAGCTCTGGTTTGGTCCTGTAGGGTAAACACTGGCCTGCTAACACATGGTCTGTGGTTCAAACCCACGAGTCACTCCTTGGAAATTCTGTACAGGATCTCTGTGAGTTGGCACTGACTCAACAGCACTTAACAACAACAACCCCAGGCACTGGGACCCAGAACCCAAAATCCTCTAGCCTCCAGCACACCTGAAAACCAGCGAACATCCCGTGGCTAAGTAGAATGACTCCGTAGGGTTTTCAGTGGCTGTGACCTTTCAGAAGTAGATTGCCTTGCCTTTCTTCCTTGGTGCCTCTAGAGGAACTTGAGTCTCCAGCCATTTGTATTAATAATTGTTTGCATCACCCGCCCTACGGGAGGACTCCAGCCCATCCTGTGTTGGGGGGTGGGGAACTGGTGGTCCGTTTCTGGGCATCCCTGTTCCCTGTGAGGCTGTTGTCAGCTGGGAATGTAGGACTTGGTCAGGTGGCCTCACTTCCTGTGTTAGGTATTTCCTGAGGTAGTGGATAGCCAATTATCTGAGACCCTCAAAAGGGTCCCTCTGACCTGTAGGGCACAGAGGGGTGGTGTAGGCGTCAGTGTTTGTGTAGGAAGGCCACCACAGGCTTGTGATTGGTGGCGATAGAACCCTCCCTGCTCCTACCCACATCCGGGAGCTTGGGTTTCCTGACAGCACCCCCAGCTCTCAGGGGTGTGTTTGCAGATGCCCTTCTGTGGGCTCCTGGCCAGCAGCTCAGGGTCCCCCCACCCCAACGAGTTGGCAGGAGGGGCTTCTGCCCACCTGGGTGGTCCCTTCCTTTGAACTTGAGCATCTGGGGGAGACAGAAGGTAAGGGTCCTTCCTGGGGATAGGAGGGCCATAAAGTCCAACTTAGAGGGTGGGGTTGGGGGGAGATTGGATTTTGGGATCTGGGCCCACCTTGGACAGGAGAGGGCAGTCAGACGAGGAGTCCCCCTTATGCGGATGTTGGGGTGTCTGCCTCTATCTGTATGTGTCCTTCAGGTTTTGGGATGTGGGACCGGGCATCCATGCCAGTCAGATCCTGGTCGGGAAACCCCGCCCCCCTTCTTCTGTCTGTGTGTAGAGCAGCCCTCACTGGCGGGGGGCACCTTCTGGACATCCTTCCTACAGGCCCATGTCTTAGGGTTGCAGGGGACAGGGGCTGGAGAAACAAGACTCGTGCTTCCGTTCTGCACACCATGGAGGTTTGAGCAGTTTCAGACGTTGGGCCCTACCCGCCCACATGCAAAGCTCTCACTGTGGCCTGGGGGTGGGGAGCACTTGGGGCTGGTGGGGCTCCCTGGTGCCTGGGTGTGATTGCAGCTGTGCCATCAGGAAAGGGGGGGGGGGCCCTTCCCAGCCAGACACTCAAGCAGGAGTGGTGCTAGGGTGGGTGTCTCATCCCAGGGACTTTCTCCTGCTCCAGACCCTACAGAACCCTGAGGAATGTCTGGTACCAATTTTAATCATAAAACAACAAGGGATGCATATAGGAGTCCTGGTGTGGCTCTGTGGCATAAGCACTGCACTGCTGACCTTAAAACGGCGGTTCAAATCCACCAGCTGCTCCTTGGGAAAAAAGATGTCACTTGCTAATTCCGTCAAGATTTACAGCCTCGGAAATCCTCCTCGGGGTGTCTGGAGTCAGAATTGACTGACTGGCACTGTTTCTTTGTCTGGCTATAGTAAATTGCTTAAATACAATACTGTCTTGATGATATGACCCCTAGCGCTGTGGATTAATGCGCCAGACTGCAAAGCCGTTTGAACTGCAAGGTCGGTGGTTCAGGCTCTCCAGCTGCTCCTTGGAAAACCTATACAGAGTCACTATGGGTCAGAACCGACTCAACGGCACTTAACAACAACAACACGTCAGAATGGTTTTGTGAAATCTTTCTACATTGAATTACAACGTTGTTGTTGTTAAATGTTGTCCACTTATAGCGCCCCTGTGCACAACACCGCTGGTCTGGTGCCATCCTCACAGCTGCTGCTATGCTTGAACCCACTGTTGCTCCTACTGTGCCAGTCCACTTTGTTGTGGGGAGGGTCTCCTTCTTTTTTACTGTACCCTCCACTTAACCAAGCATGATGTCCTCCCCCAGGGACTCAACCATCCTGCCTTCTAAGCAACATTCTGGTTGTATTTCTTCTAACACAAATGTGTTTGTTCTTCTGGCACGCCATGGTATCTTTAATACTATTCTCCAATACCATAGCTCAAATGCATCCATTCATCTCCTGTCTTCCATATTCGTTACTAACTTTCACATGCATTTGAAGCTATTGAAAATATCATGGCTTGGGTGAGGGCACTTTAGTCTTCAAGGTATAACATTCTTGTAATTGTTGTTAAGTGCCATTGAGTTAGTTCCAACCCATAGCAACCCTGTATAGGGTTTCCTAGGAGCGACTGGTGAGCTTGAACCGCAGACCTTGCAGTTCAAACTGACTTTGCAGTCTAGTGCATTAATCCACAGCGCCACACCAGGGCTCTGTGACATTTTTAGTTACTGCATTAGTAACTGAGCAGAAGAATTTTACAATAAATTTTTTTATCCTTCTTTTCCTTTAATGATTACCTAATTCCCCCAAAAGTTGTTGTTATAAATTCACAAAACTACTCAGCGCAATATTGTAGCTAAAGCACCAGGAAATTTGCCAAAATCAGTGACTATAGAAACACCAACAGTGATGAAATCAGCATTGCATTTGTAGTACGTGCAGATGAAACCACATTATAACTGGGTGATAATGACACTTCTGACCAGAATGCATTAGAAGGTTCAAAGAGTAAATGAGTACAGAATTGTAGCCTCCTTGTAAGTGTTTTGACGGTGCTGTGGGCTAATGCGTCAGACTGCAAAGTCGTTTCAACTGCAAGGTCAGTGGTTCAAGCTCACCAGCTGCTCCTTGGAAACCCTACACAGGGTCGCTATGGGTCAGAATTGACTCAATGGCACTTAACAACAACAACAACAAAGCTGGGTTTATGGGAAAAACATTTTCTTGTTATAACTAACTACAGGGATTTTTTTTTTTTTTTTAAATGTAAGTTTCTGCTGTAACACTGTACAAAAGTTTGCAGTCATTTTTGGGTTACCCCCTCTGAGAGTGTACACCCCTAGTGACCCCACTGCTGTTTGACCTTCCATCCCATGAGTATAGGGGAAGTGGGTTCTGCAGTTGGTCAGTTGCTTGCAGTTTAACCAGACATGTCATTGACTCGGTGCCTGTTCCGTCTGTCCATCTGTCCTTTGAGACACAAATACAAGACTGGCTCTGTCCCTTGTCCTGGCACGTGGTTTGCCCGGCCCCTTGGCCATTTGGCTTCTAGTGGCTCCAAGGCTCCAGGTGTTCCAGCTGATTGAGTTCAGACAGAGAAGGTAGAGAGGAAGGTACACCTGGTGATGGCAGAGGGGGACAGGTGGACCAAGAGCCCTGTGCTGGGACTACTTGGTCCTCAAGGAGAGGAAGGTGTGGGGTCGTGCCTGCCTTGGAGCTGAGGGAGGGGCACAGGTTGGCATGACTGGTACAGAGAGGGAGACAAATGTGTGCAAGTCAGCATAATTCATGTCATGGGATTATCCATGTAGGAAGAGTGGAGATGGCAAATGCTCTGTTAAACATAGCTCACCATGAGTTAAATGTCACACACATACTCGCACATGAGAGTTTGTGAGTCCGGAGCTGGCGCTAGGGGCTTTGTGGGCTGGTGGATCGTGGTGAGGGACTTCAACCCAGTGGGCATCCCACAGTGTCTCTGGGCAAGTTGACTGACCTCTCTGAACCTCAGCTTCCCCATCTGAGCAGTGGGGCCCCAGCTGGATGCACCAATGATGTCCTGGCCTGGCCAGCGTTCTGCATGTGCACAGGATCCTCCTTAACTCCTGCTCTCCTCCCACAGCCTCCGAGGTGGCTCCAGGCAGCACTGGCGACATGGCCGACACCCCCAGGGACACTGGGCTCAAGGCCCCCGCACCACGGAATGAGAAGGCGCCCGTGGACTTTGGCTACGTGGGCATCGACTCGATCCTGGAGCAGATGCGTAGGAAGGCCATGAAGCAGGGCTTTGAGTTCAACATCATGGTGGTTGGTGAGTGTCTGCCCCACCCCCGCTCCTAGGGAAGCCGGCTCTGCCTGGGATCTGTGTGGTCATGGGCAAGCAAGCCAATCCATATTCTCAGCCTCAGTTTTCCCTTCTGTAAAATGGGGTGACAGCCTCACCTGGGGGATGTACGTGTACCTGGGAGGGGTCCTCGGTTTCCCTGTGCTCCTTTGGGGTGTGGCTCCTACATCAAGAACCCCAGATAACATTCTGACCCAGCCCACAGGCCTGATAGGAGCAGCCCACCCAGGCACAGGAACCTGGGGCTCCATCCATCCTCCTGTTGGTCCCAGCCCCAGGGGGTCTGCACTGCAGTGGCTGCGGGGGCCTGTGCTGGTCACCAAGGAGAGGCCAGTGGCTAGCTGACTGGGGTGGGGGACAATGAGTTGGATCCTCTTGGTCCTTGCAGCGATCGTGTGAGGAGGGTGCTTTGTTTTAAAGGAAGGAATGAGGTACAGAGGGGATGTGACTCCAGAGAGATCACTCAGGTCCAAGGGGAGCTGGTTCAGACTCCCAGAAGTGTGCTCTACCCACACCACTGGGACAGCCAGAGGGGCCCGGGGACACTCCACCTGTGAGATACAACCCCAGTGCAGGCGGCAGGGCGGGCCCCTTCCTGACCCCATGGCCCGACACCTGTGTGCTCTGACCTCCGCATTTCCTTCCTGGGCTGCCCAGTGACTCCCCGCCCATTTAGGGAGTCCTTTCATCATCTGTTCTGAGCTTCAGCTCTGACTACAAGGGGGTGTCGGTCCCCGCTTCTACACCCTCACCCCAGACTTGTGCAGAAGGGCGGTTGGAGATGGGGGTCTTCTCAGAGCCTTTTCTTCCTGCTGGGGGTCAGGGAGCAGTGGCTGGAGGAGGAGTGGAACCAGGGGAGGGGCCGCTGTGGGGAGGGACACAGTCACATCAGCAGGAATGTCCCAAGTGACTCTAGAGCTGTAAAGACACTAGGGACAGGTCTAGATTCCCGACCCCCGGGATGGGTGGGGGTCCCTGGGAGGCAGGAGGTCTGCTCCCTTCCTCTCCACCTGCCTTAGTTAGGATTGCTATAACAGACATACAACAAGTAGGTGGTTTAAAAGACCAGAATTTTACTTTCTCACAGGCCAGATAATCTGGAAGTCTGAATTTGGGGTGTTGGCTCTAGGAAGAGGTCTTTTCCTGTCTCTGTCGGCTTCTAGGGGCCAGTGGCCTCAGACTTCCTGGGCTTGTGGCTACATCTGTGTCCATCTGTTGTCCCATGTCTGCTTGCTATTCTCTGTGTCAACGCTGCTGTTGGGTGATGCCTGAGTCAGTCATGAGCAGACAACCTCATGTGTCTGAGTTAAGATGCTCCATAGGACTTCCTAGGATGTCGTCTGTATTTCTTAATTTTTAAAAAATAATCTTTTACTCCATTTTCGGTGAAGATTTACACAGTTGTTTGGTCCCCATTCAACTGTTTCTACACAAGTTGTTCAGTGACGTGTAGAACATTCTTCACAATGTGTGAACCATTCTAGTTGTTCTGTTTCCATTCATCTAGTTTCCCTGCCCCCTTCACACGCTCCTCTTTGTTTTAAAGTCATTGCTAACTATCTGGTCTCCTTGGTGAATTTTTTAAAGGAACTCAGTATTTCTGGGTGATAGTCTTTATTTTGTGAGTCATTTCGTCATTTATCTAAAAGGTGACTTTAGGGGCTACTTTTGGTTCTAGGTTTAAAGAGTTTTTCAGGGCAGCTGCCTCCGGGGAGCCTTTCAGTCTAACTGGTCCAATAGTCTAGCTTATTTTATTTATTTATTTTTTTAAAGAGCTTAAGGTTTTTTCCCACTATTTTCTCCCGCTCTATCAGGATGCATCTACTGATCTACTGTGGCCTTGATTAGAACACTTGGAAGTGATAGCTGGGCACCATCTAGTTCCTCTGGTCCCAGAGTAGACAAGACTGTGGTTCATGGAGACTATTCTGGTCTCTTAGTTGTAACCTTTACGGAGGCAGATTGCCAGGTCTTTCTTCTGCAGAGCTTCTGGGTAGATTTGAACAGTTAGTCTTTCATTCCCCAAGCTCCTTTCTTTAAAAGTCACACACACATACTCATGAGAGTTTGTAAGTCCGGGCCTGGCACTAGGGGCTTTTTGAGGGCTTGTGGATGATGGCGAGGGGCTTCAGCTCATTGGGTGTCCCACAGGGTCTCTGGACAAGTTGACTGACCTCTCTGAACCTCAGCATGGCTGGATGTGCTCTTCATGTGCACAGCGTCCCTGTTCCCTGTCCTCCCACAGCAGTGATTAGGGTTACAGCACTCCCTGTACTGATAAGGCCCTGTTTCCAAACAGAATTACATCGCTCGGTGGTGGTGGTGGGGCTGTTGAGTTGGTCCTCACTCACAGTGACCCACATTCATAGAATGAAACACTGCGTAGACCTGTGCCATCCCTGCAATCCTCCCTGTGCATGAGCCCATCTTTGTTACCTTTCAGTCTGTCTCATTAGGGGTCTGCTCTTTATCACTGACCCTCCACTTTATCAAGCATGAGGTCCTTCTCCAGGGACTGCTCCCTGTTTCTATGGGGCATTCTGGCTGTACGTCCTCCAACACAGATTTGTTCATTCTTCTGGTAACACAGAGTCTATTCAATATTCTTGATCAGCATCACAGTTCTAAGGTACTGCCATGTTTTCTTTGGCCTTTCACATGCATATGAAGCAGTTGAAGCTACCTTGGCTAACTTAGGTGGTTGTTGTTGTTATGTGCCATGGAGTCGGTTCTGACTCATAGTGGCCCTGTACAGGGTTTCCAAGGCTGTAAATCTTTACGGGAGCAGAAAGCCTCATCTTTCTCCCACAGAACAGCTGGTAGTTTTGAACTGCTGACCTTAAGGTTCGCAGCCTGATTTGTAACCACTATGCTACCAGAGCTTTGTTGTTGTTAAGTGCCATCGAGTCGGTTCCGACCCATAGCGACCCTGTACAGGGTTTCCGAGGGTGTAAATCTTTACGGGAGTAGAAAGCCTCATCTTTCTCCCGCGGAGCGGCTGGTTAGGTGCACCTTAATTCTCAAACTGATGTAATTGTTTGCTCTTGAACACTTGAAGTCTTTTGCAGCAGACATGCCGGTTCATTCCATGACTGCTCCTTTTGTAATGTTGATTGCGGATCTGAGTACAATGAAATCCTTGACAACTTCAATCTGGTCTTCGTTAATCATGCTGCCACTGATCTAGTCACAGGTGTAAGGTTAGGATGCCACCACAGAGCTGAGCGCCACAGTTCATCCATAGCATGTCCTGATAGGAATGCAAGTCCTCTTCTTACTCTAGGTCTATGTCTTTCAGGGAGGAACAGACAATCTGGTGGAATTGTGGGCTATTGAGAAGAGCCAAAGAAAACCATAAACTTGGAGTATTGGTTAATGAGACACAATTGTTTTTCTCCTACCCTCTAGCAGAAGCGAGTCAGTTGGTGCAAAGAGCACCTACTTAGGGGTTCACAAACCTCATGTGGAATCGTAGCTTGGTCTCTACTAAGCTGGTGACACTTGTCCTGTCTCTTCCCCTTTGCTTGCCTCAGTTTTCGCATCCATGAAATGGGCTAGTCCTAACCTCAGAGGACCAGTAGGGGTAGTAACGTGTGTGAGCCCCTAGTGTGGCCCTTGGCCCATTGTGGACGTTTAAGAAGCATTTCCTTGGAAGAGCTGATTGCCTCCACGAATAACTTCCTCCTTTTCCTTGTGACCATAAGAACTGGATGGTGCCCAGCTACCATGACTGAATAGTTTGATCAAAGATTCTATATAGACAATTCGTGATCAAAAGGGGGTATATGTGTAGAACAGAATTTCAAATTCTCATGGACTCTAGACTTTCTGGAGTATTGAGTCTTGAATGGTGTCTGATGTGGGAAGAAATTTCTGACTGGGAAGAAATGGGATCCTGAACCTTGGGGTGGTGGTGGTGTGCCGTGGAGTCGATTCTGACTCATAGTTACCCTGTAGAGAGTTTCCGAGGCTATAAATCTTTACGGGAGCAGAAAGCCACATCTCTCTCCCCCGGAACAGCTGGTTGTTTTGAACTGCTGACCTTGAGGTGAGCAGCCCGATTCATAACTACTACGCTACCAGAGCTCCTTGGGGTGGGACAGATAATCAGGAAGCTGGGGACACTGAGCCCCTAAATTCTGTCTAATTACTCTTGCCAGCATCTTTCTCTGAAGGTTGCCTACTCCATCTTTGTCTGCTGACCCATTATCAGTAAAATAATTTTTCCCTCTACTGAACTGTCCATGCTCACACGATGCCTGAGGCACTGTTTTGCAAGACATTGTTGACTGTTCCCAGGAATGACCTCCATCAATGCCTGCTTTTGATCTACAACTAGACTTAAGTCCAAGCAGGTCCCAAAAGGTGAAATACAAATTGTGACCCAGGAAGAGGTACGCTACACTCCAAAAGACCTGTTGGATTTTTCTGATGTGTACAAACAGAAACCTGGAGAATATGTGTGATGGTGGCTGTTCAGGGTGTGGGATGATGGTGCAAGGAACAGAGGATTGGATCAGTCTGAGTTTTTTGACACGGGCCAGCCCACTAAACACAAACGCTTCAAAGAAGAGGATCTAATAGCTTATTATCGCAAACTTTAAACCAAAAAATATCCTCTGAAGTCATCTTCAGACAATATTTAAACAAACAAAGCCACAACAGGCCTTTTGCTGTTGAGTGGATTCTGGCTTTTAGCAGCTTTACAGGACAGAATAAAGCTGCCCCATAGCTTCTCAAAGGCTCTAAACCTTTGAGAATTAAGGAACTCGGCTGCCTTATCTCTCTCCTGCAAAACAGTTGGTAGGTTTGAACTGCAGGCCTTCTGTGTAGCAGCCCAGACCGTAACCACTACCAACAGGGCTCCTTCAAACCAAGCCATCGTTGTTCATAAAGTTTTTAGTAGCTAACTTTTCTGAAGCCTCTTTCTTCTTCCTAGTCTGCCTTAGATTGGAAATGCCGTTGAAACATGTCCACCAGGGGGCACCCTCGTTGGTATTTGAAATACCAGTGGCCTAGCTTCCTGCCTCACAGAAACACACAAGCCACTGACAGATGAGTCATTTGACAGAGGCCTTGGTTCCTGTTCTCTTTTAAGATCTGTCCGGAAAGGATGAAACTGATCACAGTGACTTGAAAGAAGAGATCTGAACCTTAGGGCAGTGAGTGTGTGTGGAGTGTAAGAATGAGAATGGTCACATGACCCAAAGCATGCCATCCATGTCACTGAAATGTCGGTGCTGAATTGTAGAACTTGTGCATGTTCAGCTGTGTGTGTACTTTCAACTACAATTTTAAAGGAAAAGTTCCCTGACCAGAGGTTAGCTAGGACACAGGGCAGCGGGCAGAGGAGGAGATGAATGGGACCTTGTCCAGTGTCCTGAACCAGCCTAGGGTATCAGGGACATTGAGTCCCACCTGCATCAGCCCCTCCTTCAAGCCCTGCTGACTGACCCCTTTCTCGCCCCCAGGGCAGAGTGGCTTGGGGAAATCCACCTTAATCAACACCCTCTTCAAATCCAAAATCAGCCGGAAATCAGTTCAGCCCAGCTCAGAAGAGCGCATCCCGAAAACCATCGAGATCAAATCCATCACACATGGTGAGCACTGGGGGTCCCTGACTCAGTTCCTCACAGCTGGGACTCTCCAAGACATCACCTGGGTATGCTGGAGAGTCTGGAGACGTTGATGTCCTGGACCGCTTGCCCGGACCCCCTGAGGGCCCTGTCAGACTGAGTTCCTGGAGCTGTTGATTCTACCTGGGGGAGCGCCCCTCTCAAGTCTCCCGCTATTCAGGATGCTCTGAGTTTGGCCCTTCCAGAACCTCTTCCCTGGATGTCCCTGGAGAGCAGGGTCACTGGAGGCTGTCTTCTTTGTCTAGCCTTAGCTGCCCAGTCATTTGACTTCAGGGCCTCTTGCCAGCAGCCGGGACCTGTCTCCCTGGGGTGCCTAAGAAGATCTTGCCCCTTGAGTCTGTGGGTGCTCTATTACCTGCAGATATCGAAGAGAAGGGTGTCCAGATGAAGCTGACAGTGATTGACACACCAGGGTTCGGGGACCACATCAACAATGAGAACTGGTGAGGGCCAATGGGCGCTGGGTACCATGCTTCCAGGTGTGAGAGGCCAGTAGGGGGGTTCCAGATTCCCTGAGCCGCAGCCAGCATCAGCTGACGAGAGTTCCACTGGGGCTCTAAGAAGAGCAAGTTCTTTCTCTACCCCACCCTCCGAGGTCAAAAGGCAACATGAGAGGCAGGCATGGAACTCTGGGATCAGGCTATGTACTGAGAGGGTCTCTGAGGTGGGGTGTGGGTGTGGAAAGCCTGTGAATTCTTGGCTCTCTGATGAGGACTGGAGGGAGGCTGTCCCTGACCGCATGGCCCCGACCCCTCTGTGCAGTTGGCAGCCCATTATGAAGTTCATCAATGACCAGTATGAAAAGTACCTTCAGGAGGAACTCAACATCAACCGGAAGAAGCGAATACCTGACACTCGTGTACACTGCTGCCTGTACTTCATCCCTGCCACCGGCCACTCGTACGTATAGCCCCAGGCCAGGCCTGCGACAGGGACCGAGCAGCTGAGCCCTGGGCTGTCACGTGGGTGATGTCCTCGCCCTCATGGCTCATTTCCCGTCTCTGTACTGACAGACCTCACGCTTGTCTGCGTTAGAGCCATCCTCAGCCCCCTGTGGCACCCACAGTGGGACCCCCCGCAGCTCCATCCTGGGCCTGAGCCATGACCCCATTTCCCACCCTCCCATCCTCACGGCCACATCTTAACTTGGGTGGTTCTGTTTCAGTCTCAGGCCGCTGGACATCGAGTTCATGAAGCGTCTGAGCAAAGTGGTCAACATTGTCCCGGTCATTGCCAAGGCTGACACGCTGACCCTGGAGGAGAGGGTCTACTTCAAACAGCGGGTAGGACCCCTGGCCTCTGCCCCTCCAAGGCAGCCTGGACAAGCCTGGGGAGGCCACCCCAGCCTGAGAGCTGTATGGTCATAGGGACAGCTCTCAGGGACTCTCTGACTGATCCCAACTCTTAGTAGCAGCTCCACATGGTGGGGGGCTCTGGAGAACTTCAGAGCACGTCTCTCTGGGGACTCTGGAGGCTGCGCTTTCTAGAGCCTCTTCCCTGGAGGCTGTCCCACTAGAGTGGGACCCTGGAGGCTGTCATCTTTGTCCACCCTGGGGTACCCAACCAGTTGGCTTGAGGACCTCATCCCAGCAGTCAGGACCTGCCTCCCTGGGGTGCCTGAGAGGGAGGGGACTGTCCCTTCGATTTCATCAGATGGAAGACAGAACCCTCAGGGACTGTCCCCACCTCCTCCTCTCCCAGGACCCTTGGGCCTGCTGGGAGGGTGTATACCAGGACCTCTAGGGACCTTCAACACTCCAGGGCCTGAGCTCCCTCAAGCCCCTGTCTTGGTGGTGGGGGACCTTAAATCTCACTCTGAAAGCCCCACGGGTCCTGCCCACCCTCTGTCCCTGGACCAGGTATTGGGGTGTTAAGCGGGTTTGTGTTTGCTGTAGAAAGAGAACTGAGAAAGTCCAGAAGCCCACTTAGAACAAGTTACCATGGGAAGCCCCCGTGTGTCTAGGTTTTCAGGGGTTAACTTTTCAAAAGTGGATTATCAAGCCTTTCTTCCTAATTACCTGTGGGTGAACTTGAGCCACCAGCTTTTCAGTTAACAGTGGAACATGTTAACTATTGACACCTCTCAAGGAACAAAAATTAAAAGATGTCTCATGGGGCTAAAGGAACTGTGATAGTTTCTAGGTGGGGTTTTGGGGACTGGGATGAGCCAGAGAGAAAAGGTAGAGGGACCACAGGAAGGTGATCAGAGACACCCCCCCCACACACAGAGCAGCAGCAGTTCCTTGGCAGGCAGCTTCCCAACCACCTACACTCCCCTCCTTGGGGGGAGACAGGCAGTGGTGAGCATCGGGGTCACCAGCCACTGACCTGGGGCAGCACCCATGTCTTAGCAAGCAGGAGGATGCCTAGTGGGTGGTGGTCTCCCACTTCCTGCCCCCAGATCACAGCGGATCTGCTGTCCAATGGCATCGAAGTGTACCCCCAAAAGGAGTTTGATGAGGACTCAGAAGACAGGCTGGTGAACGAGAAGTTCCGTGTGAGTGCCCCATGGCAGGATCCTGCTTCCCAGGATCTGTTCCTGTTGGGAGGTGGGGGCGATGAGCCAGGAGCATGTCCTCTGGCTGGGGGGAGGGGGGGTGCAGCCCAAGTGTCCACCCACCCATCTCTTGCCAGGGGCTCCTGTCATCCAGACTGGGTACCAGGGTCCTGGGTTAGGGCTACTCTTAAGAGCCCAGAGGTCAGATGGGCTGACTGGCACCCTAACTCCTCCAGGAGATGATTCCGTTTGCTGTAGTGGGCAGTGACCATGAGTACCAAGTCAATGGGAAGAGGATCCTGGGACGAAAGACCAAATGGGGCACTATTGAAGGTACTCACTTTGGAGGTGGCCACAGCCTCACAGGAACTCAGGGATGTGGGATCGTGCCTGCTGGCCAAGTCCACCACTCTGAGACACCAGCTATTTGTTTTTTTAAACATAATCTTATTTTATTTTTACATACTGTGAAAATAGATACAACAATACTCTCTTAGTGCAACAGTTTCCCAGACATTGGTTACATACTTTACATTGTATCAACATTCTTGTTAATTTCTATTCTAGTTGTTCACTCCACTCTCCCTTGACTTGAATTCTCAGCTCCCCAGCCTTCACATCTACATATTGAAATAGCTGTTGTCCATTTGGTTTTCTGTGGATCCCGTTTCATAGAGCACAGTACCACAAGAGGAAACCTCCCCCCCACCCCCCCAAAAAAAGACCATGATGGGGCTTGTTTACAGGCTCACTGGGTGACCTTGGACACATGCCCCAGCCTCTCTGAACTCGAAACTCCACTCATGGCACCATCCAGCTCTGAGAACCAGACCACCTCCCCCACTGAAGTTCCTGGTGCCCATACGCCTTACTGACTGGGTGTGTTAGTTTCTTGTAACTTCTGGGACAAATCACCATCATTTAAAACAAGAAAAAAGTATTTCTTTGCAGTTCAGAGGCAGAAGTCTGAAATCAAGGTGTGGGCAGGGCTGTTCCCGTCTGGAGGATCCTTTCTCCTAGCTTCTGCCAACTCTCCTTGGCTAGTGGCTGCATCACTCCCATCTCTGCCTCCAACTTCACATGGCTGACCTCTCTGACTACTCTCGCTTTTATAAGGACACCCATAATTGAATTTCAGCATCTCTGGTGGCACTGTGGGCTTTTAACTGCAAGGTTGGTGGTTCAAACCCACCAGCTGGTTCCATGGAGAAAAATGAGGCTGTCTGCTTACGGAAAATTCAGAGTCTCAGAAGCCCTATATCAGATTGTTGTGAGTTGGAATCAGCTCAGTAGTGGTGGGTTTGGTTCAGCGGGTTTTGGTGGCACAATGGTTAAGCACTTGGCTCCTAACAGAAAAGTTGGCAGTTCAAATCTAGGGGTTCTCCTAGGTAGAATGGTCTAGTGATCTGCACCCTTAAAGATTATAACTTAGAAAGCTTTGTGGGTTTTCTGTTGAATGGGGTCACGTGAGTCACAAATCTGCTCACTTACACAGAGCAACATAACCCAGGATGACCTCATCTTGGACCCCTCATTGCATCTGCAAAGACCCTTTTCCCAAACAAGGCCCTGTGCACAGGAACCAGGGGAGGGGAGGACGTAGACAGGACAGTCTGACCTTCTAAATGTGGTACCATCCTTGGGCCTATCCATCCCCTTCCTCTGTTTCTCCCTCATCTTTTTGCATAACCGCCCCCACCTCCCCAAAAAAAGGTTTTTAAAAAAATGAACTCAATTCAGTCTCTGCTGAGTCTACAGCACAGAGTAAGTAGAACTGCTCCATGGGGTTTCCAAGGTTGCCAGCTTTATGGAAACAGCCTGCCACACCTTTGTCCTGCGAAGCAGCTGCCCTGGCTGGTTCTAACTGCTGGAGATTTGGTTGGAATCCAAGCGCTTACACCACTGTGCTACCAGGGTTTCTTCTCTAAGCATTACTGTTTTTATTAGGACGCGTCGAGTCAGCTCCAACTAGTACTGGCCCTATATTGGGTTTCTGAGGAGTGGCTGGTAGATTTGAACCTCCGACCTTGTGGTTAGAAGTCCAGGACTCTGACATGGTGGAGGGAAAGGGAGAGGAAAGGAAGGGACCACCGTGTTCCTGGGAGCGGGCAGCTCAGAGGTTGGTAGAGAAGGAACCAGAGGTGATGACAGGGTGAGTTTGGGGCAGTCGTAGGGGTGGCTGGGAGCGTGAACAAACCTCCATCTTCTAAGGCCTCGGTGTTGCCATCCATGGAGTGGGTGTGGTGCTTTGAGATTTTAGTAAAAGGAGAGCTTGCACTGGCCCTGTATCACCCTTGCTGGTCCAGGGCCAGGTGTGTCTCCCTTGGCTCCCCCACTGGGGGTGTGGGACTGGTTGGGGTGTGGGTGCAGCCTCTGTGTAGGGGTTTTCCAGGGTCCTCTGTGCCTTTGGTGTGGCGCTGTAGGATAGGCACTCCACCATCAGGTTAGTTTGAACCGCAAGATTGGTGTTTCAAACTCAGCAGCTGCTCCTGGGAAACCCTATATAGGGTCACTATGAGTCGGGAGCAACTTGATGGCAACGACAACTGTACCTGTGGGCCTGCGTTTCTGTCCCTCCCTCTCCGGGTCAGGGAGAGACCTCAGAAGTGTCTCTTGGTGTCAGGGTTGGCCTTGGCTTTATCAACATGCTCTGCTGCTGACTGAGAGTTAGAGGTTCATGGCCACCCAGAGACGCCTCGGAACAAAGGCCTAGAGATCTGTTTCTAAAAGTTCACAACCTTGAAAAGCCCCATCCTTCCTCCATTTCCTCCGGTCACTTTCTGTTTTGGAGGGCAGAGAAATTTGGGGTAAGAATAGGAGGACCTTGGAAGGGAGGGCAATCCAATGGACGAGTCTCTGCTGACCCCTGGTGGCAAACCCAGGTATTGCAGGAAGCTAGTAAGGATAATTTTGAGGAATTGAATGACGCTTTTTGATCTGTCTCTTGATCCTTTGATGTGGTGCTGTGGGCTAATGCGTCAGACTTCAAAGTTGTTTGAACTGCAAGGTCTGCGGTTCAAGCTCACTAGCTGCTCCTTGGAGACCCGATACAGGGTCGCTATGGGTCAGAATTGACTCGATGGCACTTAACAACAACAACTTGATCCTTTGTAAGATTAATGTGCAGCCTCTCTGACTTGTCTGTTGTTTTGAGGGTTGTTATGAGATATGATCCCATAGAACTTATAAGGACAGCTATGAGAGGGCGGTTCCCATACCTTTTATGGGGACCCTGAGTACACACCTGCCTGATCTTAGCTCCAAGCAGAGAGAAGCTACACACCTCTAAGCCACCCTGATATACGCCAAAAAATTTGGAAGACAGACACCTTACCAACTGATTATAAGAGATCCATATTTGTGCCCATTCCAAAGAGAGGTGACCCAACAGAATGCGGAGATCATTGTACAATATTATTAGTATCGCATGCCAGTAAAATTTTGCTAAAGATAATTCAAAATCAGTTGCAGCCATACCGAAAGAAAACTGCCAGAAATTCAAGCCGGATTCAGAAAAAAGATGTGGAGTTAGGAATATCATTGCTGGTTTCAAATGGTTCTTGACTGAGAGCAGAAGATACCAGAAAGATGTTTACTTGTGTTTTATTGACCGTGAAAAACCTTGTGACTGTGTAGATCTTGACAAACTATGGATAAAATTGCAAAGCATGGGTATATTAGCACATTTAATTGTCCTCATGGGAACCTGTACATAGACTAAGAGACAGTTGTCTGAACAGAACAAGGGAACACTGAATGGTTTAAAATCAGGAAAGTGTGTGCCAGAGTTGTATTCTTTCATCACACTTATTCAATCTGTATGGTGAGCAAATAATCTGAGAAGCTGGGTTATATGAAGAAGAACACGGCATCAGGATTGGAGGAAGACTCATTACCAACCAGTGATAAGCAGACGATACAAGCCTTGCTTGTTGAACTTGAAGAGGACTTAAAATACTTACTGATGAAGATCAAAGACTGCAGTCTTAAGTATGAATTTCACCTCAGTCTAAATAAAACAAAAATCTTCACAAGTGGGCCAGTAAATAACTTCATGATAAATGGAGAAAAGATTGAAGTTGTCAAAGACTTTATTTTGCTTGGATCCACAATCAACACTCACAGAAGCAGTAGTCAAGAAATCAAGCGACATTGCATTATAGAAGTCTGCTTCATTAAGACTCTTTAAAGTGTTCAAGAGTAAAGACATCAGTTTGAGGACTAAGTGTGCCTGACCCAAACCATACTATGCTCAGTCACCTTCTATGTGTGTGAAAGTTGGAAAATGACTAAGGAAGACTGTAGAAGAATTGATATATTTGAGTTATGGTGTTGGAGAAGAATATTAAAAGTACCTTGGACTGCTAGACCAAACAAGTTTATGTTGGAGAAAAGTATAGCCAGAATGTTCCTTAGAAGCCAGAATGGTGTGAGACTTTATCTCTCATACTTTGAACATGTTAGCAGTAGGACATCCTACTCGGCAAAGTGGAGGATTGTGGAAAAGAGGAAGACACCCAATGATTCATTGAATGGATTGGTGGCAGAAGTGGATTTATGTATAACAACAATTGTGAGGATGGCACAGGACTGGGCAGTGTTTTATTCTATTGGGCACAGAGTCAGTCCTATGAGTCAGAGTGGACTCCAGGACACCTAACAACAAACAAAAGAACCCTTAAAGCTCTCAGCGGCTAACTGAAGGGTTGGCTCCCAAGCTGCTCCTCAGAAGAAAGTTGTGCTATCTGCCTCTTTAAGATGTCAGTCTTGGAAATCCTACATGCTCCTCTGTTCTAGACTCAGAGTTGGAACTGACTCCAAGGAAATGGGTTTGGGTTATGTTTGGTGTGTGTGGGGTTTGATTTCTTCCTTCCCTCCTTCCTTCCTTGTGCACCCCAGCAAGCATGTGCTTGAGCTGGGTTCTTACCTCCTTCCCCTGATTCTATCTTTTCCTTCTCTTTCTTCTCTGGGTCATGTGATCTAGACATACTTCACATACGCTTGGAAACTTCCTGAAATGTATTCAGGACAAAGGGGGACAGGGAGTTTGACAGATCACAATTATCTCATTTAATCCTATGCTGTCCCCATATTATAGATGAGGAAATGAAGGATCAGAGAGTTCAAAAGAATTTGCCCAAGGAAGGGTACAACAACCACACACTCAAGCCCCAACCTCAGGGTTCTGCTCACCTCCCTTTCCTCATGGTCTCCCAAGTTAGCTAAAAATGTGGTGGTGAGAGGCAGTCTGTGGGTTTAGCAGGCTTGGGAGCAGAAAGCAAGTACATAAAATCCAGAGCCGTGTTGGGCTTCATGTGGCTGGGAGTGTTGGGCTTTTAAAGCCTCATGCCCGCCTCTGTCCTGCCTGCCAGCTTAGGGAGCAAAGATCAGACACATGGACTGAGAGAAAACACCTATACTGTGGAACCCACCTATACTGTGGAGCCAGGCATATGGGGTTCAGATCCTGCTCTGCACTTCCAGGCTGGGGAAGTGGGGATGTTTTCCTAATCTAGACTTCCTCAGACCAACAAAAAAGAAATCGTCAGGCATACTGAGTTATACCTGTCACAAGGAGTAGCAACCACACCTTCCGTTCTCCAAAGCACATGCTTATGTTTTTCTTCCCGGGCTCTTTGTATGTCTGAGAACATGCTTGTCTCCCTAAGCAACAGCTCTGCCTGTTCTGGAGCTATTTCATACTGATAGCCACATGCTAGTATACGTGTCTTACCCATGTATGTGAGGGGTGTGGCTGTCAGGGAGGCTGTGGGGAATAACTTGGGTTGGAGATTTTCTCTAACATCTCTGGTTCTTCCGACATCCCACCTTAGCAAACCCCTGTGTTCACAGAGAAAGCCTGCTTTTCTGTAGGGCGCCCCCCTGCCCTGGCCTTCCTTAGCATGGCTCTTCCCACAGTTGTCTTGGTTGGCTTTCTGTGCCACCTGTGTCTCGGAAGTGCCCGTGAGATGGCCAATGGCGAGTGGAGGACTCCTTCCTCTGGTGTCACCCTTGGGGGCTGCTCTGGGTACCAGCACAGCTGGCAGGGAGGGGAGAGGTAGGAGGGCCCTCCATGCTGAAACTAATGCCTGTCTCCTTCCTCAGTGGAGAATACTACACACTGTGAGTTTGCCTACCTGCGGGATCTACTCATCAGGTGAGAGATGGAGGAGGACCTCAGTCAGGGATGTGGACGCTAGGAGGTCAGCCAGATAGCATGACCTGGTTCTGGTCCCCTGTGGCCTGTAAGGTTCCCCAGGGTCTGGCTCGGGTGGGGGTCCCACTGGGGCTTCTTCCATGGGTGGGGGACTGGGATGAAGCAGAGGAGCCAGGAGAATTCAGAGGGTGTGCTTCCAGGAGCCCCCACCTCAGGCCCTCCCTGTCACTCTTCCAAATTCATTCTCCCCACCTCTAGCACCCACCCCAGGTCACCTGGGGACTGCTGGCCACCCCTGCCTCATTCCCGCCAATAGCAGGGACACTGAGGCCCTGACCGCTGCCACAACCCCCCTCCTAGACAGTCCAGCAGAAGTTCCCACAGCCCCCACCTAGCTCTGACCCAAGGGAAGGCACGTGGGATCAAATTCCTATATCCTGGAGAATCTGGGGCCCCCAGGGGGATCTTGTGTGCTGGGGGACCCCACAGGGGCTGGGGTGGGGGAGTGCACCAGCCCACTGGCTGCCCTGTTCCCCAGGACACACATGCAAAACATCAAGGACATCACCAGCAGCATCCACTTCGAAGCGTACCGGGTGAAACGTCTTAACGAGGGCAACAGTGTCATGTCCAATGGCGTGGAGGGCGACGGGCCGGAAGGCCAGGAGATGTAGACACCTGCCCACCCCTGGACCCTGCCTCCCCCTCCCTCTTTCCTGTCCCCGAGACCTGCCCACATGCCCTGTTTTATTTTATATAATTTTTTCCATGTGTCTTTGCTCCCACCCCATCCACGCTGCCCAGTAACATGATCACGTCTCATCTTACCTGTGTGAATTCTTAGCCCATGGACTGGGCCCTCGGCCAGGGGGACCGGGGCTCCTGCCTGGACTGACCACGTGGACCGACCTCTGTGCCAGGCAGCCTGGGTGGGGTCGTCCTTCATGATTGGGGTGCCCTGAGCTTCCTGCATTGGGCAACACACTCCCCTTGCCCCCCAGAAGTCCCAGCCCCTGAGTGTGTTGGGGGTGTACCCAGTAAGGATGGAGCCAGCCCCCCACTGCCCCACCTCCCCTGGGCGCCCGACCCCAACCCTGCTCCTAGGAGGAGTAGTCAGTTCCATGAGACACAGTTGCCAATTGCTTAGATACGGGAGACCTGTTGCTGCCACGAGCCTGTCCCGGAGCAGAAAGTGCCTTTTAACTCCCGTCCCTATGAGCCAGCGGGCACCTCAGCCGACTGCCCCATGTCCCCTTGGGCAGGGCATTGGGACCACTTAGAGAGAAGGGGGGAGTTTTCATTTCCTTTTGTCCCCTCCCCCCCACACACACCTCTGATGGACCGGGGGTGCTCCTGAGCTGCTGGGATTTGATTGAAAGGAAGGAAAAAGCCCTCCCCACCCCCCAACACCAATCTTTTGGAAGGTCCAGCAAGTGAACATGAGGGGGAAATGGGGTGGGTGCCAGAAGGGGTCGGCAAGGTGGGCTGAGCTGCCTCCGTGAGTGTGGATGTGTGTCTGTGTTTTTGTGTTTGTGTATTTGTCCGTTTCGTTTCTGGCTTGTTCCAAAATGGAGCCTCTTGATTAAATGCTTGGACACTGATTGAAAGGCTGACATATTGGCCCTGAATCGAACCCAGGTCAACTCAAGGTCACCCAGATGTGTCTTTAAAGAAAGGCCCAGCAATCGACTTCCGAAAAACACATTGGAAACTCTATGGAGCACAAACTCACTCTGACACACATGGGTCACCAGGAGTCAAAGCTGGCCTGATTTGGTTTAGGACTCAAGATGCTCTGGTTAAATGAGTGCTTAGTCGTCACTTGGGTACATCCTGTCCCCTTCTGCCCAGCCTTGCTAACTCAGAGATTGGAGGCAGGAGGCCACGGACGGGATCCTGGGAGACCTTTCGTTGGCCCCAATGTGCCTGAGCCTCCTACACCCGAGGGCCAACAAGAGCCAGACTAGGGGGTGGAGGGTCACAGTTCCCCTGCTCTCTGTCCTTGTTGGAGAACCAGAGGGACCCCGGGCACAAGCAGGCCACAGCTGCCCCATTCCTGTGAGCAGAGAGAGTGGGGCCAGTTCTGTGTGCAGACCCCAGACGTGTTACTCAACGCCATCGAGGAAGCGGGATCGAGACAGGCTGGGGGTACAGGTGTGTGTGTGCATACGTGTGCATGAATGTCATCTGCATTCGGATTTTACTTCCACCTAGAGCCATAAAGACCCCTCCTCACACCCTTTAGGGAAACAGTTTACTTGCTGACTTGCCATGTTTTTGCCAAAACCACCCCAATTTTGAAGGTAATGTCCATTGCCAGGGCGTGGGCAGGGGAACGTAAGCCCAGTTCCGTGCTGGGGTGTTGGTGTATCTTGGCACTCCAGCCCAGCGAGGGGCCAGCTCAGCTTTCCTTCCTTGTAATCAAGACTTTGAAAGAACGTTCATTTCATCGCGATCTATTCCACAATGGCCTTTTGATAGGTGCCTCCTGAGAAATCAGTCTCTTTTTGTATAAATAACAAAGTGTTGAAAATGTATTTCCTGAAATAAATGTTTCAAATGCAAACCCAGAAGACTCCTTCGTACTGAATGAACACAAGGGTCAAATAAGGAAAGATTTTAGACAAGACGGGGTTTTGTTACTGAGCTCAAGTTCCAAGAATAGGGGGGAAAAAGATAAACAAGTTTGGGGATTTGTGATTCCAAATTCCAGAGCAGGCCTGAACCAGGTTTTGCTAAGCATCCTGGTATGGTACTGTAGGGTAACAATGGACAGGTGATTGCAAGGTTGGCTGTTCAAACCCACCAGCCACTCCCCAAACCCTATAGAAGATTGCTATGAATCGGCACTGATGAGATGGCACTTAAAAACAACAGCAAAGAAATTAAAGGTTGGCAGTTCAAATCCACCCAGCAGTGCTACAGAAGAAAGATCTGGTGTTCTGCTTTTACCAAGATTGTTGTTGTTGTTGTTAAGTGCCGTCGAGTCGGGTCCAACCCATAGCGACCCTGTACAGGGTTTCCGAGGGTGTAAATCTTTACGGGAGTAGAAAGCCTCATCTTTCTCCCGCGGAGCAGCTGGTAGTTTTGAACCGCTGACCGTAAGGTTCGCAGCCCGATTCGTAACCGCTACGCTACCAGAGCTACATCCAAGAAAAATCCCAGGGAGCACAGTTCTACTCTGTAACGCACGGAGTTGACATTTCGATTCGACCACAGGTTTGGTGGTTTGCTTAAAGATCACAGGTGATCACTGGGGAATTGATTAATTGCTTGAGGGTTCCAGAACTGAAGCAGCGCTCAGCTGTTGAGATGATTTGAAGAAGGAAACGCATCCTTAATGGATTTGTTAAGAGGGAGTTACAGAGCGTTCCCACTGGGAGGCGCTGTGAGCTGCATCTCAGCTGTTTCGTTACTATTAAGTGCCGTGGTGTCTGCTCCTACTGATAGCAACCATGCATAGGGTTTCTGAGGAGAGTCTGGTGGGCTTGAACTGCTGACTTTGTGTTTTACAGTTCAGTGTTTGTCCTACAGCAAAACACCAGGGCTTGTGCTAGTGCAGAGTAAGCCTTTAAAAAAAATCTATTGGGTTGGATTGGACAACTGGTTAAAGGTTGTATTCTGAAATTGTCAACACTTGATAGCAATTTTATACTCAACCTAATTCATTAGAGAGATCCTAGCCCCTGGCCCCTGATAGTGTAGAATTAAAGAGGTTTGGCTTTCTGAGCTTGATTTTTTAATGCATGCCCCCTCCCCACACACGCACACACATACACACCCTGGAAAGGGAGGTTCAGGGGATTCTTGTCTGGAAGCTTGTGTTTGGAGGGCTCCTCCCCCTCTCAGTATCTGTTTAGTAATCTCTTAATAACATTTTTTTCCATGAACTTTCTGAAGCCCCCCTCACATTCAACTCCTGGGACTGACCTCACAGATTACCATAAACTTTATAAACTCTGGGATTGACCTCACAGGTTACCGTAAACTTTATAAACTCTGGGACCTCACAGGTTACTGTAAACTTTATAAACTCCTGGGACTGACATCACAGATTACCGTAAACTTTATAAACTCTGGGACTGACCTCACAGGTTACAGTAAACTTTATAAACTCTGGGACTGACCTCACAGGTTACTGTAAACTTTATAAACTCCTGGGCCTAACCTCACAGGTTACCATAAACTTTATAAACTCAGTCACTGGTGTCATCACAGATCCTAGGGTTATGCCCCCTGACACACGTGGGGTTTCGATTACTTGCCTCCTCCCTCAACCAGCAGGCCCCTGGGCCATCACTACTCTGCTGGACTGTCCTGCCTTAGCTAGAGGGCTCCCCACCACCACCCTGAGCCTTCTCCCCTCTAAGTGCTGCCTTCAGGTGTGCCCACCCCAAGGGGCTCTCAAGGAACCAGGGGGTCACCAGAGGGACCTGGGAAGAGCTAGAGCTGGCCCTGGACTCTACCAGGCGGCTGCAGAAATGGGGGTCTTTCTGCTCTACTCTTCCCCCCTGCTTGCAGCTGCAGGTTGGAGCCAGGCAGTAACAAGTAAAAGGGCAGCCTTGGGGTCTTCACCACCTGACCTCATAGGAGAGGGGGAGGGGCCCAGTGGTGGGGTCTGCTAGGCCACAGTGGAGGTCTGCCTAGCCACCTGACAGGCCCTTCTTAGGGCTCCTTTTGGGTCTTTATGGGTTTCCCTAACCATTTTGATTTATTTTTTACTTCTGGGATGTTGCTCCCATTTTAAAACACGATTTTCTGACTATAAAAGTAACATGTACAATGTAGAGAATGTGGAATATTCCAGAAAACAACAACAAACACACCACAAAAAGCCCTGTGACCTCCCACCTGGCTCCAGCCTCGGGGCAGGGACCCCAGTCTTCCTCCTGTATGGCCCCGTGCCTCAGCATCCCTTTGGGTTTGGTGTTGTGGGGCTGCTGAGGAGATGGGGTGTGGGCATAGAGATGCCAAGTTTGGGGCCAGACCCCAGTGTTTGCACCGGTGGAGACAAGTGAAGTTTCAGGACCACCCACCCTGTCCTGGGTCATGGCTCCTGAGGTTCTAGAATGTCCCCATTTTCCCTCCCTCCCTC